TGACTGAATAGAAAAGGAAATGGAAAATGAAACTTATATTATTAATTTATAATTCTCACATTCTCTACCAATAAATTGGTGACAAAAAAGTGGAGAGATTTTTTTTTTTTTAACCAGAAATTTCAGTTGCTATGTTTTTTCGTATACAAATTTATAATTATAAATTTATATTAATAATAATTATTTAAGACAAGTATAATTTATTTTATATTGTGGACACATTATTTTTAATAATTTTGGTTTAATAATATTATACCTTAATTATAAAAATTATACCTGATAATCTTAGTATTAAATGTCATACAATAATTACCATAAACAATGTTTAACAATTGACAAATTCTATTAGGCAATAAAAATTACTATTATAAAATCTTTTGTAATATGGACACATTATTTTTAATTATTTTGATTTAATAATATTATATATTATTTATAAAAATTTGAAGTAATACATTTAGTACTATTGAATATTGATTGACTAAAAATTATCTTAATTATTAAGGTAATTAATAGATATTTAGCTTTAAAAAAAATTCAAATATATTAATTATACATAGTAGTATGAAATCAATTAGTAGGACAGTTATATTATGTAATCTAATTAATAATTTACTTTTTAAAATTATATCCTCTTTTCAATAATTATATATATATATATATATATATATATATATATATATATACTTAATGTATAATATTATTGGCATAAAATAAATTATACTCACATTAATATATAATTAATTTTTAATATTAATGGTAATTATTCTAATAATTTTCTTTCCTTCTTTCGTGTAATTATTATGATAATTTTATGGTAATGTGTTTAAATATTGGAAGAGAACAAATATTAGAATTAATATAATTAATGAAATTATTATGGTAATTGTCACAATATTTATTAATTATAATTAATATAATTATTGAAACTAAAAAATATAATATTTCTTCCCTAAAAATATTTGTGATAATTTCATTAAATTATAATTAATAAAATATGAAATATAATTAAAGAAATGAAAGTATAAAATTAACAAAACATGAATATTTATAATTTTACATACAATTATACACTATAATAATCATACAATATTTAAATTCTACATTTTAAATTTCTAAATGTAATTTTTTAATTATAAATCTATCAATATAAATTATAATTATTGAAATTATATTATAGAATTTTTCTATATACATATTAATAAATATTATGTGTATATACAATGTATTATACAATCATATAAGGGAATGCGTCCGATTAGAGTTTAAATTTATTAATACAAAATTTAGAATTTACATTTTTTTATTGATTTCGAAGTACAATTCTCTTAGTTAGTATTCATATTTTTAGAATTATAATATATATGAAATACAATTAGGAATAAATAAACTTAATTATGTGAATTTTTCAATAAATTTATCTAAATATGTACATGATTAGAGATTATATTAAACATACAAAATTTAAATTTAAATTTTGTATGTTATGAAAAAAGATACTTAACCAAATATATAAAAATCCAACCATATTATTATATTGTACATTATAATATATTTTCATTGTTTTCTATTTTTAATTTTAAATTCATAAAAAAAAAAAAATCGTGCAACGCACGGGTAAAACACAATCGTTATACCCTGCACCACGACGCGCGCAGCACTGTGCGTCCCGCGCCTCCCAAAACGACGTTGTTTTTGGAGGCGCGGAAGGGGGTTGACGTTATTATGTGTATTTGTTTATATCATTATGTGTATTTTTTTATACAATTATGTGTATTTTTTTATACAGTTATGTATTGCATCAGGACGCACGATGCAATGCGCGCCCTGGTGCATGATATAAATTGCCGGTAAAACACTATATTTTTAAAAATACAATTTGATAAGCATCATAAATTAATTAGTACAATATCATTTCTGTTTATAATAATTAAAGAAAAAATAAATAATTCAAATATGTGAACCAATGATTTCAAAATAAAATTAATATATAGTTACAAATAGATATAGGATGTACTTTAATTAGTTTTAATTTTCTTAATGAAATGACTTTTCTTTATCAATTTTTTATGGTAGACTAAGGGAGTGGGTGGGCCGCTGGAAAATATTTTAAAAATAAAAATACTTACTAATAAAAAATAATTTTAAAATATGTTTTAACCCCTCATAACATGTGTAAATCTTATATTTTTTTTAAAATATAATTTGATAAATATCATAAATTAATTAGTATAGTATCATTTTTGTTTATAATAATTAACGAAAAAATAAATAATTCAAATATGTGAACCAATGATTTCAAAATGAAATTAATATACAGTTACAAATAAATATAGCATGATTAGATTTAATTTAATTATTTTTAATTTTCTTAATGAAATGACTTTTCTTTATCCATAGTGTTTGGATTGCTGGAAAATCTATAATCTATAATATAATTAAAAACAAAATTCTATTTATTTGATTTCCCGCTTAAATAATAGTAAATAGTAAAGGTAAAAAAAAAAAAAAGTAAATAGTAAAGATAAATTAAAAAATGAACAGAAATATTTCACAATAATTCTCTACATCATCATCAATTAAAAATGGAACAAAAATTAGGTAAATTGGAAAATAAATGAATATTAATAATTGACTGAAAATTAAAAATGAAAAAAAAAAGAAACAGAAATTAGGTTAATTGGAAAAGAAATGAATATTAATAATTAACTGAAAATAAAAAATGATCCATAATCGACTAAAATTGAAAAGAAAATTGTCAGATTATTGCATTTTAATTTTTCACAATAATATTACATAGTAGAATAAATCAAATCACAATTATATCATAAATCTTTCACAATTTTTAGCAATGGAACATAAATTAAAAATGGAACGAAAATATTTCAATAATAATATTCTACATCATCAAGTAAAAGTAAATAAAAAATGAAAAGGAAATATTTCAATAATAATATTCTACACCATCAATAGTAAAGACATATTTTAAACAACAGTAAAGCTAAACTAAAAATGGAACGGAAATATTTCAATAAAAATATTCTACATCATCAATTAAAAATGGTTCGGATAGGTAAAAATATCACTGCATCTGATATTCTAATTGACCAATTGACTGAGAATAAAAAGAATAATTGCCTAAAAATGAATCTGATATTACTAATTGACTGAAATTATAAAAGGAAATGAATATTAATAATTGACTACAAATAAAAAATGATCCATAATTGAAATGAAAAAATAAATTGACAGATCATTGCATTTTAATTACAAAATGAAACAGAAATTAAAAATTGGATGGAAATATTTCAATAATAATATTCTACATCATCAATAGTAAATGCATATTTTAAACAATAGTAAAAATAAATTAAAAATACAAAGAAAATATTTCAATAAAAATATTCTACATCATCAATTAAAACTGGAACAGAAATTAGGTAAAAATATCAATACATCTAATATTCTAATTGACTAATTGACTAAAAATAAAAAAGAATAATTGGCTGAAAATGAATTTGATATTACTAATTGACTGAAAATATAAAAGGATTACTAATTGACTGAAATTCTACCATTATATATTTTTACCCGAGTCACTCATCATTTGGGACTAAAGGTGTTAGCTCTAGACGAAGATAGACAAGATTGTGTTGTTACTATCAATGTTGTCTACAAAGAGGTTTCAATAGTATGTAAATACAATCTGTGATATTATGTTTTTTTAAATGTCAAAATTGCTATATATCTAGACAAAAAATATATTTTCCATACAAATAAATTAGGATATCAATTCATTTTTATAACTGAGTTGCTAGAGAACGAGCACATTTGATTAATTTATAAAAGTACTGAACAATGATAAATAAAATCTCCAAAGTTACAGCACCGCATGTGTACATCTACATATTAGCTATTAATTTGAGCACTTAATAACATAAAAACACATAAATGATCCAAACCATACTTTCAATTGCACTATATAATCTTTGATGTTCTAATTTAAATAATTATATATCGATCCAAATATTCTTAATATATTACAACAAATTCATTCCGTGCATCGCACGGGTGCAAATACTAGTATTAGAAATAGAATATGCACTTGGTCTGATCTCTTTTTGTTTGTTTGAGTAAATTATGTAATTTCATATTTACTTTCTCAATATATTGAAGTACAAAAAGTTGACAATGGTTATACACTTATACTGAACATAAGTACATAACTCTTTATTTACTCCAAACTTTTTTATGTGTGTAATTATATTTTGATTTTATTGTCAAAAAAGTTTAATTACTTTTAAAATTGAGATGATTATATTAAAGTTCTGTGGTCAAGTGACATGAAGTGACTCTCCAAGTGAGAGGTCATGAGTTTGAGCTTTAGTGGATGCGGTGAAAAGACCCTACATGTAACATGGTCAATAGAATTCCAAAAGAAAAAAAATGATTATATTAAAGAAAATACTTTATTTAGAACATAGAAAATGAAATTCCTAAATGATAATGAAATTTGTGAAAACAAATTCAAGTCCCTCACTATGAATACACAATTTCATTCATATAGCCTTTAAACCTTGGGTAAAAATGGTAATGAAAGTGTTCATTTGGTTGATGGGGAGTGCCAAACCGACTTCCAGGCCACCTTCATAGTCTTTGGCTGTACCAAGAGATATAGCACCAGTTACATCAATGGAAGGAACTTCAAACTTGTTAGGCTTTCCCCATCCAAAATCAAGTTGATAATAATCAAATCTTGGCGAGCTAGCCACACCCAAGCATCGACCAGGTTTGATTTTGGACATCTCTCTAAACTTATCGTCAATATCACTCATAGGCACATCATCGTCTTTACTACTGTTCAATTGGCTGCGAATAGCTTCTCCGATCACCGCAGCCGCCTCGGCGAAGCCGTCATCTCCGGCGAGTATCTTCGTCTTCGCCTTTGAAATAAAACCCAGGACGCAATTGCCGAAGTAGTTTCTGGGTATGGGTGGGTTGAAACGTGCCCGGTAATCGGCCGGACAGGTAAAATAATCGTCCCCGTCCCCGTCCCCGTCTCCGTCCTCGTCCTCGTTATTATCTGTGCTTGTCTGGATTCGCGATTTGACTAAGCAATTCCAAACGTACGAAGTAATCATGGTAAATGACGAGACGTGTTCGAGATCGGGTCGTCGGGAAATGACGTGGGTCTTGAGCCTTTGGATGTCGTCTCGCGTCACTGCAAACGTCGCCCGGACCTTGTCGGTGATTGATGGAAGGCGATGAACGTGTTTGTCCTCAATCTTGATGTTTTTCATGTGGTTCCAGATATGTGTTCCTAGTCCTTTCCGATCTTGTATCACTGTCCGGTCGAAAAATGGTCGGAATTCTTGTGGTAAAGAAACAGGGGATGTGTTCTCGCGACTGGAAAAGAAAGCCCAAGCTTTCATGAACGCAAAGATGGTACTACCGTCACCGATTGCGTGGTGGTTAGTTACGCCGATGCAAATCCCGACGTCGGGAAATAACGTCACTTGTAATCCAAGCACGGGGACTCTGATTGAGCCGTCTGGTTCACGGGAAGCCGGCGGTAAGCTCGGAACAAGAGGATGAAATTCGGAGCAACTTCTTCCATAGTTCGATGTGAGATGATTGAAATGAGCCTCGCCGGAGTTAGACTCCGCAAAGACCAACGGCACGGTGTCGCCGTCGGCGTAACGAATTTCCGGCAGGCTTGATTTGTCCGGTGAAACAACCACTACACCTGCCAGGGGACTGTAGTGTTGAAGGGTAAGGGATAATGAATGTTTGATGGTCGGAATCAGGGTATCTAGGAAGTGGGTTCTTGAGATGGGGTGTCGATAGAAGATGAGGCGGTGAACTGGGTCGAGGTGCAACCAAAACACATCAAGAAACGTGAAAGGAAGAGAGATTCCGGCATTCGCTTCCGGCGGGGGTGCGACCGGAATTTTCTCCAGCACGGTGACGGTTTGGTTGACGTCCATTAGAAAATGTGAAACTTTAGTGAGAGATGGAAATCTCAAAATGGCCAAAGCTGTGGTTAGACTTGTGCGATAGAATCGTATGTATATTAAGAAATGCGACAACCAATTTAGAAATCCCTAAATTTTTCCAAAGACGGCTCAGTTTGTAGGTTGTGGATAAGGACATAAAATTGGACCCTTTCATCTCGTCAAATTATGATGGAGATATCTGTAAGAACAGCTCAATTAGTCATAAAAATAATTTATGATAATTTACATTTTTTCAGATATTTTATTGAGCGTGATATGAAGACTCTTTAAAGTCTTAAGATTTGAAATTCAAAAATATAAAGAAATTATGATGTGGGTCCCTTAAGAAATTACTCCTTGATAGGCAAGAATTTTTGAATTCTTCAAAACATTAAATTCATTTTGGTATTCAATAAATCTCCAATAACGAACGGCCACTACAATGTAATAATGGTCATGTTTTACAACTTGTCAATTGCTAGGACCCATTCTTCAAAAAAAAGAAAAAAATTGGTAGGACCCATTACAACGTTACGTTCTAGTCTTCTAGATGTTAACTTTTAATTTAATTTTATTTTTTTATTTCAACTATCTAAATTTTTTTATAATAACAACAAAATTATTTTGGCGATTCCTTTTATAAAAACTAGTCCTTGAATTTTTTAAATTGTTCCCTCCAATGAATTAAAAGACCTCGACATCATTGTTTACTAAAGAAATATAACGTTGTTATAGTTTTTCTCATCAATTTTGTTTTTTCTTTTTGTTTGTTTGTTTTTTAACATGTAACAAGGATATATAAATGGTTAATAGATCGGTGATGATAAAGTCTGCGAAAGTGTGCTTTTTTGAATAGGGTGCTGGCAAAAGGTTTGGCATTATACGGTGAAGATATGCACCAACGTCAGAAGAAGAGAAAACAAAATTCTCAAAAGCATCAATCATAACTTGTTGAAAATAGGGAAAATCTTCATATTTTTTTTCAATTATTTTTTAATTGTCAATTAAATCCATAATTTTTAATTTACACTAATTGATCTTCAAATTATTTAAAATTTTGTCAATTAAATTCTTTTAAGAATCAAATTAACGAAATTTTAAAAATGTAGAAATTATCATTTTGGTCCCTAAAATGGTTTAATTGACGAATTTTAATCAATTAGAGAATTTAATTAGTTGAAATTGAAAACTATGAATTACATTAACAATTGTTAAACAATTGAAGGATCAAAATGGTAATTAACTCTTGAAAATATTTGGTCCAAAATTTTATTCCATATCAGTTTGCATAAAGTATTTTGAATAATTTTTCTTCATCGAAATAATGGAAGTAACATTTAAAATAAACGAATTCTATACAAAGTGGCCATCATCATATATATACAGCACAAAAGCTCCTTGCCAAAAAGTAAATAAATAAAAAAATCTAACAGAAACAATACAACTCCAAAATGGACAAAAATATTAATCTAATATGAAGTTATTTAACTCCTACCCAAAAAATAATTATTAAAAAAAAAATTCCATAAAACATATAGCCAAAGCTTAACGACAGCCAACAGGAAATACAATCTTCAAACTTATCTCCAAACATCTTTAAATTTATATAGTTCCACGGTTAATAATTATTTGACACTAAATAATGTAAAAACAAATACTTTTTATTCATTATAATCTTTCCCTTTCAAAATTTCATCTCTGAATGACTTATATGTTAGAAAAATTAGCTTAAAATGGCATAAAATAGCATATTAAGTGGCTATTTTGTGGTACAATTATCAGTGGGGTCCACTTCCGATTTGGGTTGGGTCAACGTGGATTCGGGTTCTTCGTAGTGAGACGAAGAGATTGATATATTGTACGCTCAAAACGGATAATGGGTGAATGAGATATTGATTCTCAAAGTAGACCCATTTGAGTTGGGAAATGAAGGGAAAATAGTGGACATAGTCCCACATTAGTTTGGAAACAAGATTTGCCCCCCTTATATACATGAGCTCTTTTGAAGCTTGTAGAATTGTATAGCATAGAGGCTCTCTCGCGGGGAAGGGGGGGGGGGGTGCAAATCAAAATCCAACTAGAGGAGATCGAAAAGGCTTGATTCAAGCCCGAGCTCGCGTGCGCCGGCACCTGCGGGCACGAATGTCGTCCGGAAATTGGCTGGCCTTGCGGGCTAAGTTATGCCAAACTTCGGTATCATTTTCCATCTGTTATAGTCACTTGGCTCGGCCGAAACCGAGCACGAGAGAGGTTGTGGTGCACCGAGAGCAAAACTCTCGTGCAACGGTGAACACGAGAGGTGTACTCTCGTATTGCACCATAGCACGAGAGTGTGTACTCTCGTGCACCCCAACGGTCTGAAACCCGAAAGTGCAGAAGATTAAACTCATCTGTTACGGAATTAATACTGTTTTAATTCCAATTTTTAAATTCTAAGTTTAATCCTACTTAGTGGTGACCGTTACAGGTGTTACACAATTGGTTTTAACACCAATTTAATGGCCATGTTGAATGCTATCACTCCAACATCCCTATATAAAGAGAGGTAGAAGCAGTAGCATTTTACACAGTGAGAAACAAAAAGAATTCCAGTACAGTTTTCTGCTCTCAAAACTCTGCTTCTACTCTCTTCTTTAGCCAATCTGTGTTCCAGCTTTGCTTTGTTTGCCGGGTTCCTTGTTTAGGTGCTTAAACAAGGAATCGTAGCACGTTTTATCATGGGAAACCTAGGCTACAACGCTCCTAGCACTTGTGGGAGGTAGCAAATAAGGTTTTAAGGAAAAGAACTTCATGTTCGAACTCGTGCTAAACCTTTACCCAAACACTCAACCTTTTCCTTCCCAATTCTTTCTGTTTTCCCATATAATATTAATCTTCCCGTAGAATTATTATTATTTTGGGATTTTTCAACCATATTACCCAACATTATAATCATGGAACGCCTATGAATTGACAAATTTTACTAACATTTAATAAAATTTTAAAATTTATTATTAAATAATGTCATGTCATAAAAAAAATTAAAAGAGAAATATTTTGATGTGTAACATTACTCAATAATGTCCCCATCTATGGGCCCTTCCATGTTAATAGCGTACACCAGTAAAATGCAACAAATTATTGTGTGGACCATAGTTCACATAATGTTGTATAGATCATAATAAAATGTACATTTTTAATATATTAAATGTCATTATTTTTGTATCGAGTGTACATTATAAATGTATACTCAGGACACAAAAAATATGCATCTCTTAAATATAATATACATTATTTTTGTATTAAATGTACATTATTTTTATACTGAATATATACTATTTTATTGTATATAAAATATGGTCCACACAATAATATTGGTAAAATGCATGTATGCTAAACACTTTACAATAAATTGCACTTGGTCAAGCATCTAGAACAATAACTTGGACTGTTGTCATTTTATTTTATTGTGGGCCCAAGTGGAAGAAATTCCACATTGAAAACAAAGCTACCTTGCATCAATATTTGCTTCTAATACCATCAAAAAACATATAACTTCTAAACATTAAATCGTAAAATTAATAATAGAAATGAAAATAAAAAATAAAACTACATTTTGATTGAAGATTTAGAAGAGTGAAAATTTAATGTGAGAAAATAGCGTGCAGGGTTAAAGGAGTCACAACTCACAACACCCACTTAACACAAAAATTAACAGAAGATCATTTTGACTTAAAATTCAATAGTCGGAGGATCAATTTGGGTGCAATTAAAAGTCAAAGAACCAATTTGAAAAAAAGCCAGAGCTAGATGATCATTTTGGGAATTAACTCTTAGGGGTCGTTTGGTTCACGGAATGTCAGATTACTTTAGGGAATGTTAGATTGCTGGGAATGTTAGATTCTTGTGTTTGGTTAAAATTGGGGTATGTAATATAATCATGTTTGGTTTAAGGTTATCTTTATTCACACACTATAATATCCTTAACATATTTTCATATATTTTAATAAATATAAAAATTAAAATAAATAAATAAGATAACGGTATCATATATAATTACATGATTTTAAAATATTAACTAAAATATTGAACTTGAAAAACAAAATTATTTTATATGCTAACCTAACATAATAAAAATAAAAAAATATATAATTACAAAAATAATTATATATGTGTGTGTGTGAGAGATATAAACTAACATAACCAAGGTTATCTTACATAACCTTAGAAATTGAAGGGAATCACATTCCCTTCAAAATCCTATGTGGAGGGAATATGACATTCCTAGGGAATGTTAGATTCCCTGAGATAATGTGAACCAAACATAGAAATGTGAGCTTTGGAATGTCACATTCCTTTGGTTATGTTATATAACCTGAACCAAACGCTCCCTTAAAGTAATGTTGAAGTATTATTTTAATTGCACTTCAGATTATTTGATAATATATGTTATTGTACGACTCTTGATTTTATTTTCATTTTCCATGTACACTAGTTTCATTATAACAATACTAAAATATCATTTCATTTATACTACAGTTTCAATTGACAAATAATGTGCTCTATTTTTTAATTTCATTTTTCACACACACACTAATTTCATTATAGTAACACTAAAATACGATCATGGTCAGCATATTGATGTGTGGACCAAGGCCCACTGTATAATAATAGGGCGAAAATGTTCGAAATGATGCTATATAACAATAGGGGAAAAATGTTCGAAATGATTATTTTTTGGAATGCTAATGACTCTATTACATTGTAGTATTTGTTCGAATATACTTTCTCAACCTACTGAAGCACAATGAATTAACAACGCCTCCACTGAGACTCGATCTCATGACTTCACACATAGAAAAGGTCACTACATGCCATATGAGCACCCTTGGCGTTGAAATGATTATTTATGTCAAAGAAAATTTTTGTTTAACATATAACACATACAACATGCCAAGCACCTTGTGCTCAGATGACATGTAATGACCTCTCTCATCATGAAATCGAGTCTTAGTGGAGACGTTGAGATACTACAATGTAATAGAGTGAGTAGATTCAAAAAAAAAAAAAAAGAAAAAAAAAACATACAACATAAATATATGGTGTAATTAACATTTGAGTTGAAATCAAACATATTGTTCTATTTAGCATTTTAGAAACTGCGGAGTACTCCGTATATTATAAGCCAACAGTTACAATGGTAATAGTAAAAATTCAGATTTGGTCAAGCCGAAATGGAATTCCTAATGATAAATAAAATTAATTTGCATAAATAAAGTAAAATCTGATATTACAAACATCATGACTAATACTACATGTCCCTTTCTTTTTCCTATAGCAACTAGAAATAATTAATCCGTCCCTAGTTTTGTCCTTTGCTTATCCGATCAACTGGTATATTATATGTCTTTCAACTGGTATATTATATTGCTTAAGCTCTAGCATTTACGGTTTATATTTAAAATTTAGCTTTTTAATTGATTTTATAAAGTTTACCATGTTTGTATATTTAGTTGTTAAATATTGCATATTTATGTATTCAAGTTTAATTTGCATAGAGAAGTTGATGATAATTATAAAAATATCACCATATTTTTTTAAAATTTAATCAGATTCGTCGAATTTTTACATATATAAAACTAATATTGATTCTTATTTCTCATGGTCTGATCTCACAAGATCCTTTGCCTACACACAACATGAACTAAAACTGGATACGGGATACAAGAAAATAGGATAATTGCCATAAAATATATATTTACAATAGTTACTATAAATTCACACAATCTATCGCAAGGATGTATTTGACATTATTATTTGAATAATAAGAATTATATATCTTTTTCCCCATATTTTTATATACCTGTAAGCCTTTAAAGTGAGTAATTTTAAAAGTTTATGTCTAGCTGTCTAATCAAAATGTGCTTATTCATGCAAAATGTATTAAGATCATATCAATTGCCTTCAATATTATATCAGATTTGCCAACCCTCTACCAATAAAGCACCAGCTATGTATCCATAAATACATTCTCTCTCTCTCTCTCTTTGTTAAATCACAAAGTGCCCTGAGCAAACTTTAACGATAAGAAACTATCAAGTTTAGACTAATTCCTGTCGTATCGGACCGATCTAATTAAAAAATAAATTGCTGACCAAATTGATTTTTTCAATAGAAAAGAGTCAAATAGACCCTCAAACTTTAGTTTAAAAATCAATTAGGCCCCTAAACTTTTTAAATGTGCAATTACACCCATCAACAATTCAATTAGGTGCAATGAAGCCCAAAAACAAGTTAATGACCTGCTATCAAAGGTCATTAGGGTTCAGGCCACCTTCCGGTAAAAAAAAAGTGACCAACAACAGACCCAGATTTGCCGAAAATTTCACCGGTCACTTTTTTTTTTTTTTTTTTTTTTGCCGAAAAATTCGCTAGAAGGTGGCCTGAACCCTAATCATTGTGATAGGCTGATAGCAGGTCATTAATTTATTTTTGGGCTTCATTGCACTTAAATGAATTGTTAAGGAGTGTAATTGCACCTTTAAAAAGTTTAAGGGTCTAATTGACTTTTAAGCTAAAGTTCGATGGCTTATTTGACTCTTTTTCTTTTCAATGGATAAGTACATTTTGAATATGTGTGGCTCTTAAAATAATAATAATGACGAGAGGAAAGACAGAAAAAAAAAAAAAAAAACACGTAACTATTATTGTATTTCAAAATTAAAGTTAATATTAAATTTAATCCATGTTAATCTTAAATTTCATCCTTGATTGCTATCCATAATTTCTGATATCATAATTTCTCCATTTCCTAGAGTTTCAATCGCGATCGTAATGATACAATTATACTATTTCCTGTTACGTCCTATCATTCGAAAGGAAATAAAATTACAGTACTATCCTTGGATTCAGAACAAAAAAATTTAAGTCGACTAAAAATGACATAGGAAGTGTTTGGTAAATTACTGTTAGTTGATTGAGTTAGTGAGTTGATTATTTGATAGCATTAGCTGATTGTAGAAAAGTGTTTGGTAAATTAGTTGATAATTGATTACATGAAAAAATGACTTTCTCATAAAACTTATTGAAAAAATTACTTTGAGTAGCTTTTTGATTTTTTAGCATTTTAAAACAATAAAAGGTTACAAAAAGCAAATTAATCAAACACTGATATTGATTGTTTAACGAATTCAAACAACTAATAGTGATCAAATAAAATAAAGTTAACAAACCTCACCCAAAAAAGAAACTAAAATTGGCAATAAACTAACTATGTTACCAAATATGACCTTAATATTTTTGTACATCTAACTATCTAAATCCCAAGTTTGATTAATTATAAATTTGAAACTCAACGGAAAAATATGCCACATTCTAAAAATGAAAGTAAGTCTTGTATTCTTGAGACTATATATTTGTTTATGATGTGAATTGGATTGATTAAGTAGAATAAAAAATATAAAAAATATATGACTTTTTAAAAATAAAATATTAATAAATATATCAAAGAGTATGAAACGAAAGAAGATTACGTATCAAAACTCTTTACTAGAATTTTCCAATCAAAATAATAGTAATTACGTATCAAAACTGTTTGCTAGAATTCTCCAATCAAAATAATAATAACGTATCAAAACTGTTTGCTAGAATTCTCCAATCAAAATAATACTCCGTGGTAATTACGGTCGAGTTTGGCAACCCAAAGCCGTTATCTGTCCATTTCAAAACCATGAAATGTAGCAGACATGCCAGAAATGTGAAACCCATGTCGATTTCAGAATCGTGTAAGTTGATATGACAATCATTATTGTGTGAACCATAATCCGCATAAGTTGTATGAACCATATTTTGTATACTGTAAAATAATGTACATTATATTTAGAAAATGTATATTATTTTTGTACTAAGTGTACATTATATTGTATAATGTACATACAATACAAAATTAATGTACATTTAATATATTAAAAATGTATTTTTTGGTACGGCCAACACAATAATTTGCCCTGATCTGACTATTTAGAAATTATTATTGTTTTTTTTTTTAATTATAATTTTTTTTTTTTGGAAAGGAATAGAAAATATTGTTAAAGTTTAGAATGTTGAAAGTTCTAAAATATTATGGGCAGAGATAGCTCCAGTCAAGTTGATTAGTCTAATACAAAACTACTAGTTGTTAGGTGGCTTAACATTACACTAAAAGCTATAAGCTCGTAGCGTTGTGACCTGTTTCTAATAACACTTGTTAAATCAAGCGTTTATCACTACACAAAAAACTATATTTCATACTGAAGACACGACTTTATATTATTTCCTTATACCGTTACATATTTATAGGCATTGTGTTGGGCTTAATTCTTCAAATGTATGCCCAACAATTCCAAAGTCAGTGCTGGACTTGGCGATTCACCTATCTCCGCCCAACAGAGGCCTATTAACCTTCGTGATTTGAGTCATATATCCATGTTGCTCTGTGCACCTCAGGCAAGCTTCCTATCTCTATGAACTTTTTCCCTTTTGAGGAAATGATGATGGAACTTATCCAATTTTGATTAAGTTGAAAGAAATAATGCTAGATCAATTACATTCCTTGATAATAATACTAATACTACTAATAATAATAATGCATATATTAAAATGCCCAAAGGTAAGAAGGGATACATTTTTGTAATTGCAAAATGTAAATAAACTCTGCATTCTGAGACAGAGGGAACAAATTGAAAATGCATAAACCTATAAAGCCTTTAAACCATTGGTGAAAATTCTGGAAAAACTGTCAATTTGTGTGGCTGGCAGTGATAAACCAATCTCCATTCCACCTTCAATGTCCCTGGCTTTACTAAAAGATAAGGCACCAGTTAAATCAATGGAAGCAAATTCGAACTTTTTAGGCCTTCCCCATCCGAAATCCAGTTCATAGTAATCGAATTTAGGCGACCCAGCCACGCTCAATGATCGGTCAGGTGTCACCGCCATTAACAATGAACACCAATCTTCAGCGCCTTTGAAAACCCCAGACTCCTTGTCGTACAGTTGCCGGCGGATGCTGTCTCCGATCAAGGCGGCGGCGAATACCAACGCTTTCTCGCCCGTCAGTTGCTTCGTCTTCGCGAATCCAACGACGGCCGTGAGGCAATTGCCGAAGTAGTTTTCCGGCGCCGGTGGATCCAACCGTGTCCGGCACTCCGCCGCGCAGCCGAAGATCTCGTCTTCGTCGTCGGTGTTGTCTGTTTCTGCACCGTATCGCGATTTTACTAAGCAAATCCATACGTACGCACAAATCACGGTAAATGAGGAGACATGTTTTTGTTCCGGTCGGTGCGCGAGGATGTGATTCTTGAGCTTTTGGATTTCGTCCCGGGTCAGAATGACTGTAACCCGGACCCGGTTGGTGATTAATGGAAGACGATGGACGTGTGTGTCCTCAATTTTGATGGTTTTCATGGTGTCCCAGAACAGTGATTCCAGTCCTTTCGGATCTCTGATCATTGTTCTGTCGTACGACGGCAGAAATTCCGGCGGTAACGACACAGACGACGATGTTTTCTTGTCGCCGAGATTGGAGAAAAATTCCCAGGCCTTCATGAAACCGAAGATGCTGCTAGCGTCGCCGCTAGCATGGTGATTGGTCACGCCGATGCAAATCCCGACGTCCGGGAAAAGCGTCACTTGTAGCGCGAGCACGGGGGCTACGGTGGAGCCGTCCGGTGCACGCGAAGCCGGCGGTAAGGCCGGAACGAGAGGATGAAAATCAGTACAGCTTTTTGCACGGTCGGAGGTGAGATGGTCAAAATGACCCTCGCCGCCTGAATCAGACTCCGCCAGAACTAACAGGACGGTGTCGCCGTCCTCGTAACGAATTTCCGGCAGGATAGAATCGTCGGGAGAAACAATCACCTTGCCGGCGAGGGGACTGTAGTGGCGAAGGGTGAGAGATAAAGAATGTTTCATCGCCGGAATCAGGGTTTCTAGGAAGTGGGTTCTTGAGATGGGGTGTTGGTAGAAGATGAGGCGGTGAACTGGGGCCATGTGCAGCCATAACAAGTCGAGAAACTTGAGGGGAAGAGTGATTTTGGGGGTCCCTTCCGGCGGTGGTGCCACCGGAATCTGGTCCAGAACGGTGACGGTTTTGGAGATGGTCATTGGATTTCGTGAAATTTCAGATTGGATCGTATATTGCGGTATAGGGTCAGAAGATATTTAAATAGAATTCTGATACAGAGTAATTGATACGAAGGTCAACTTTGCTTGCCAAAAAATTCTTTTGGTCATTTTTGGAACACTGTAATTTGTCATTGACGATTTGCTGGCACTAAAGATCACATTCAAATGCCACTTTTATTCCTTTAATTTTATTTATTCCACACGATTCAGCAACTCCATTGTTTATTTGTTGACATTTTATTCTCTTTGTGTTTTTTTAAAGTAAAAAGTTAAGACAATTTATAATCACTTTACTTTTTTCTCTTTTTTTTTTCTTTTTCTTTTTAAGAAGATTTTTTGTGACGAACTCAATTGATAGTGTCAATAATAATTAAAATTGTGATCTTTATGTACAAAAATTATAATTCACTCATTCACTACCACCTTCTACTTTGCGGTTACTCTTTACTTTGCTTTTGCTTAATGGGTGATGGATAATTGATTTTATAGTTAAAATTGGAATGACGAGTAGTTTCACGATCGAACATCAGCGTCTAAGAGAGGCTCTTAGAAATGTTAGGGACATAGGGTTCGACAATGTTGTTGCTCAGCTAAACTCAGGAGCAATTGCCAATGTCATCGGATGAGAGAATTAAGGGGGGGGGGGGGGTATTCGATAAACACTTTTATAAACTTTTAAAAAGTTTGGTGGTAGAAACATCTCTGTTCACCATGTCAAAAGGTCAGCGAATCACGTGGCTCATGTGTCTGCACGGGCAACTGGTTCCTTGTCAGTCATGGGTTCTTGGGTCTCATATCCTCTTGATTGTATTGCTGAGTTGATGAGTTCTAAATATATTAATCGTTTGCTTTCAAAAAAAAAAAAAAGTTTGGTGGTATTCAATTTAGACTTTTAAAGACTCTTTAAAAGTCTACTAGTATTCGATTCAAACTTTTCAAAAATCTTTAAAAGTATACTGGTATTTGATTCATACTTTTATAGAGTCTTTAAAAGTCTGGCATTCGAAAAACTTATTAACATTCATAAACTATATCAGAATAAGATTTCTATGGACTTTTTCTTCACTAATATAAATAGATGAAATACAACCCTCAAACCCTAAACTTTTCAACTTTCTCTACAATTTTTTTTTTCTATATCTGAATCAGACAAAATTTTCATCGATTCCTATCAAAATTTACAGTGCGTTTCAAACCTTTCATAAATACTCATATACTTGAACACTATAACACTTGAACTTGAGACTTGAATACTTGAATGCTTCTAAGTTCAAACACTTCAATCACTTTTTCTCTATCACCCCTAGTAAAATGGAAACCTCTATTTCTAGCATGAAAAATATCATCCACACCACACATTTGAAATTTAAACTCAAATATTTTCAAACTTTCAAATTAAAAACATTTAAATTTTCTAACTTAACCAAATTATCTAAAATATTTAAATATATTTCGTTATGTCATTTTTTTATATAAAATTAATTATGAATCATGAGCCAAATATATAACATTTGGGCTATTACAAATATTTAATTAATTAATATATCCAACAACATCTTGTAAGACAGTCTGTCCAATCATTAAAAGTCCAGTCAATTCTAACGTGCTGCACATTTCAATAAGAGTTATACTACATAGACTCCCAAAATTCTACTCCCTCATTTATATTTTATGAGGTGAAAAATCAGGATTATTTATTTTCATCATGTGGGTCCATAGAAAAACGTCAACATCAAAAGCATGTGAGAGCGAGTACAAGTTGAGGAGTTTAAAATGGAAGTACACCAAGTATTTTCCTTTCAATAATCATAGACAAGAAAGTATATGCTTTTTACCTCTATCGATGTTCCAAAGTCTTCTGTATATATACTAAGTCATTATTGTGTGAACCATGGTCTATGTAGTTGTTTGGACCATGGTTCACTTAGTTGTGTGGATTATAAATAAAAAGTACATTATTTTTGTATATAAAGTACATTATTAAAAATATATTATTTGTGTATTTTAAGTACATTATTTTTTATATTATCAAATAATGTATATTCAGTACCCAAATAATGTACTTTTAATATATTAAAAATATAAATTGTATTAAGGAAAAAATACATTATTTGAGTACTGAAAATACATTATTTTGTATAATGTAGATTCAATACACAAATAATGTACTATATATTAAAAATGTACATTTTTATGATCCATACAGCACTATGTGGACCATGATCCACACAATAATTTGCCATATATACTAGCTTTCATAATATATATATATATATATATATATATATATATATATATATATATATATTCTTATATATTTTAATAAATTTAAAAATTAAAATAAATTAAGAAGATAACGTTATCATATATAATTACATGATTTTAAAATATTAACTAAAATTTTGAACTTGATATACAAAATTATTTTATATTCTAACATAACGTAATAAAATAAAAAAATATATAATTACAATATATATATATATATATATATATATAATAATAATAATAATAATAATAATAATAATAATAATAATAATAATAATAAGCTAACATAAAATATATATTTTTAATAATTAGAATTAAAATGATAAAAATGTATAAATATCCAAGATTATCTTGCATAACCTAAGATAATATGAACCAAACATAGGAATGTTAGCTTTGGAATGTCACATTCCCTTGGTTATGTTATATAACCTGAACTAAACGCCCCCTAACGGTATATATATATATATATATATATATAAAAGATAACTCTAAACCAAACATGATTATATTACATACCTCAATTTTACCAAACACAGGAATCTAACATTCCCAGTAATAATCTAACATTCTGTGAACCAAACGGTCCCTTAAGTCTTCTGTGCATGTGTGTGTACTGGCTTTCGTAACTGCTAAATCCTTTGTATATATACTAACGTTTATAATGATTTTAGAAAGAGGAAATTTCAATTTTGGTCCTATGACTATATGGGTCTTGTTAATTTCAGTTCCTGACTTTTAAAAGTGTCAATTTAGTATCTTAACTATGTAATTTTTGTCAATTTTGGTCACTCCGGCCAAATTATCCGCCAAATTTTGCTGGAAAATTTTAATTGTTAAAATAATAAGGATATTTTGTTCATTTCACATCTCTTTTCTTCTTCCCAGACAAGTTCATCCCTTCCTCTCCTGTTTTCGACGAATGAAATGAACTAAGATGATGGGGAAAGGAGGCTTGATGATATTAAAGATAGGGTTTACAAGGAGAAAGAACGCCGGAAACAGGAGAGAAAGGGATGGACTCGCCGGAGAAGAAAAAAAGAGGCGTGAAACGACCAAAATACTTTTATTATTTTAATTATTAAAATTTTCCAGCGAAATTTGACCGGAGTGACCAAAATTGACAATGTTTACATAGTTAAGGTACTAAATTAACACTTTTAAAAGTCAGGGACTAAAATTAACAAGACTCCTATAGCCATATGACCAAAATTGAAATTTCCTCATTTTAGAAATTATGAGACAAATTTAATATAAAAACTAATAACTGTGAATAAAAGTTATACCTTCATTTATATATGTTTGTATTTTTTTTCGTTACTTATATTTATACATTATGTATAAGAGTTGTACTATATAATATTTTGATAAAAAATACTCATACATTTATAACTTTCATTATCTTTTTCAACTATTGTTGACATCCACCATATGTTTTCTTATCTTCTTCAATGGTAATAATATATGGACATTATATGTTCGAGTACTATATAAATTATTTCCTAATAACATACCTATAATTTAAAAAATAATAAATATTTTGTAAGAAACGACGTTGTCAATATTTCTTTTTTCTTTTTAATAATGTGACATTTTTCTCTTTCAATTCACCGCTAATGTATGTATACACGGACAGTGCATCAAATATTAATTATAATAATAAATATGTTTATATAAATTATTTATTGAAAATATTATATTTCCTTTATCCAACCCAACCAAATATGTAAGATAATTCACATTTCGTAAATCAAACACCCCTAAAAGCTATGAAGGGCCTTCAAATCCTGGGTGAAAATTCCGGTAAAATTGTCGAATTGTGTGCCGAGAAGTGACAAACCAATCTCCAGGCCACCCCCTTCATGGTCCTTGGCTTTACTGAGTGATATGCCACGAGACAAATCAGTGGAAGGCATTTGAAACTTTTTTGGATTTCCCCATCCAAAATCTAGTTCATAATAATCGAATCTGGGCGACCCAATCACAGTCAATACTCGATCAATCTTCAGTTTAGACAGCACTTTAAACCAATCTTCAGCTCCTCCCAACACTCCACGCTCCTTATCGTACAATCGCCGGCGAATACCTTCTCCGATCCCCTCAGCAGCATCCAACAGCCCCTCCTCCCCTCTCAGTTGCTTAGTCTTTGCGTATCCGAAACAGGCCACCAGGCAATTGCCAAAGTAGTTTCCGGGCACCGGTGGGTCCAAACGTGACCGGCAATCAGCCGCGCAATTGAACACCTCCTCGTCTTCATCGTCGTCGATGTTGTTATCTGAATCTGCGTCTTGATATCGAGATTTTACCCAGCAAGTCCATATGTATGAACAAGTGGCTGTAAATGATGAGATATGAGCCAGTTCCGGCCGCCCCGCGAGGATGCGATTCTTGAGCCTTTGGATGTCGTTTTGTGTCAGTGTAAATGTGGCGCGGATCCTGTCGGTGATTTGTGGAAGGCGATGAACGTGTCTATCTTCAACCTTGATGTGTTTAACGTTGTCCCAGAAAATTTGTTCCAGTCCTTTCTCATCTCTGATCATTTTTCTGTCGTAAAATGGTTGGATTTCAGCGGGTAAAGAAACAGGAGATGTGGTTTCCGATTTGTCTCCGTGACTAGAAACGAAAGCCCAAGCTTTCATGAACCCAAAGATGCTACTAGCGTCACCAACTGCGTGGTGGTTAGTTATTCCGATGCAAATCCCGACGTCGGAAAATAACGTCACTTGTAACGCAAGGACGGGGACTGTGACATAGCCGTCCGGCGCACGCGACGCCGGCGGTAAGTTCGGAACAAGAGGATGGAATTCAGTACAACTTCTTGGATGGCCCGACGTGAGATCATCGAAATTACACTCGCCTGAATTGGCCTCCGCAAAGACTAACGGGACGGTGTCGCCTTCCTCGTATCGGATCTCCGGCAGGCTTGAATTGTCGGGTGAAGCGATCAGTCTTCCGGCGAGGGGAGGGTAGTGATGAAGGGTAAGGGATAACGAGTTTTTCATGGTGGGAATTAGGGTATCGAGGAAGTGGGTTCTTGAGATGGGGTGTTGATAGAAGATGAGGCGGTGAACTGGGAACATGTGCAGACATAACAAGTCAAGAAACGTGAGAGGAAGAGTGAGTTTGGGTGTCCCTTCCGGCGGTGGTGCCACCGGAATATGCTCCAGAACGGTGACGGGTTTGCTGGTGGCCATTGGAGTATATGTTAAACTTTGCACTTAGCTTGCTGAATATAAAGGTGTGTTTAGTTCATGGGTAGGAGAATCAAAGTAATTGTTTTAGAGTATTATTATAGGATTTGATTACAATAATAGCCCGTTTGGTTCATGGAAAAGGTCGGCAATAGCATAACATTCTCAGTAATAAGTTTATTCTTTTGTTTGGTAACTATTTCTATTACCAGGAATATTACTAGGAATAAGATAATACATAACCAAATAACAATATTAATAATTATTCTAATTTCACTATACTACGAAATATGTAAAATATTTTCATCAAAATATATTATCATTACTAAGTATTTAATTTTCATGTTGGAACCGAACACAATCTAAATTTAATTTTTTATATCGGACCAGGGATTCCATCATTTACGGCTTCAATGTCGTGGAGACTTGCACAATCCCTGGTGGACACGTCTCTTGATAAGTTTTCAAATTTTATGGTACGATTGATATTCCATTTTCCATTTTTATTGGACATATATAGCATATTCTAGAGGATAAGACATTATAGAAATAATTGGATCGGACCACGTTTTCTTTGAAAAGAAATGGTGTAGTCCTTTTCAAAAAAAAGAAAAAGAAAAGAAAAAAAAAAAAGAAATGGTGTAGTCGGTAATCAGTATTCAAAATGTATTTGAAGTATAAAATTTATTTTGTTACTTTGTGACTCTAATTGATGAGGACAACAAAAGGATAAATCAAATTAAACTGTTCATATATAATTAATCACTTAAACTAAAATAATCAATCATTTTTCTTTACCTAATAAAATTTTTATACATGACAGGAGTTATACTCAGTGAGAGTACATCTATCATTTTGTGACTCAACCTTGCCATAATGATACAATGTGTCTACCATTTTTTAAAAAATAATACTAAATAAACATCCCAATTTCTACTTTAATTTTTAATTTATACTCATGTGATGTTCTCTTATTCATCTATAAAAAATAAAAGAATTACTCACAACTTTATTATTCTCTTTCTCTTCTATCTATAAAATCACGACATGTAGCAGAGTTTTCCACTAGAATCCATAAATCATTTTTATTTTTTAAAAAACGTTATAATAAAGTTAAATGTTGTTGTTGTTATTATTATTATTATTATTATTATTATTATTATTATTATTATTATTATTATTATGAAAGTAAGTTAAAATTATAGGGACAACACAGTATTTGTCTTTCAATTATTAAGTTAAATTCCAAATTTAAGATTTATCATAACGTAACTCATGTTCTAAAGGGAAATTCTATTCACATCACCTATTTTGCTATTTGCACCTCCTATTTAATAGGTCTAATAGCTTTATAGGTGGTGCAAATATAAAAGTCCACCATAATTAAATGTGGTCAAAATTAATATTTATTATTCAATTTTTTTTAACCATCCAAATATTAATTTTAAAAAGAAAAAAAAAAAAAAGATGAACTCGTCATCTTCTCCGGTGAGATGGCGACCCACTGGGCTGCCTTCTCACTGGAGAAGGCAGCCCAGTTAAAAAAAAAAAAAAAATCGTCACCTTCTCCGGTGAGAAGGAGGGGCTGCCTTCTCACCGGAGAAGGCAACTGGGCTGCCTTCTCCGGTGAGAAGGCGACCCACGTGAGAAGGCGACCCACGTGAGAAGGCAACCCAGGTAGAAGCCTACCTGGGTCGCCTTTTCCGGTGAGAAGGCAGTCCGTCGCCTTCTCAAGGGAGAAGGCGACATTTCGTTTTTTTTTTTTTTTTTTTTAATTAATTAAATAATGAATTAATAAATTATTAATTGTAAGTTTGACCAGGTGGTGCAAAATGTATTCTCATTTGGTTATTTACATCCCTTATTAATTATTAAAAGCTTTCACTTTTTACAATTTTAAGATGTCTTTTGATCAAAGGGTGGTGCAAATAGTAACACTCGTTCTAAAAATGGATGAAAATGATAAATCACAGAGATACCTCAACCCTACCTGCTCTCAAATGCTTTTCATGGGTGGTGCTATTGACTTATGGTACAATTCAACAATTCAATTGTTGGCACAATTATTGCACTGTTGGCCTTCAGAAAGTGATACTTTTTATTCCCATATTAAATGTACTAACTTTTTTTTTGAACATATTTTGAATATGTTAACAATAAAAATTGAATAAATTAAATTTTTAATCTTTTGTATATATTTATATCTTAAGTAATATCCAAATAATTATAAACTAAACTTATAGCTTAAAAATGTTATAAGAAACTTTAATTTCTCTTACAACATCCAATTTCATTAAAAGGTTGCAAAGGGACATGAGTATTTATACTCTTCTAATTTTAATATTTCACGTTGAAATTTTGAAACATCATTTATACTTTCTCATGAAAAAATAAAGAATCCTTTATTTATTATATATAGTTTGATCTCCTAATTTATTGTATACAGTGTAATAAAAAAAATATTGCATATAGTTTGAATTATTTAAATGTAAAATTTTCAAATCCCATTTGATTTTTTTTTTAGGCACTACCGGATCTGTTACAATGTATTTAATCATTTTTTAAAACATTATCAACAATAAAATTACTTAAATACTAGTGTATATAAAATGAGGCATCAACCATTTAGAGTCATGTACTAACTTTTTTTTTTAAGTACTACTGATTTTATTACAATGTAATATCTTAAAAATCGAACCCAAGCGGTACTTTGGCTCACCGGCGCACCTGAACCCCTAGGATACTGTGGGGATTTGGTCAAATGGTGCAAAGAGTGGCTTGAGAAAGAGTGGACTGTAGACATCTCCCACACACGGCACGAGAATAACACTGTTGCGGACGAGCTTGCCAAAATGGTGCCAAGATCTCAGTGTGACTGGATTGAATTCAATGGCCCGATTGAGTGCATTAAAGAGTTCTTAAGTATGGACCGGGTGCGTTATGTAACTACAAACACCCGGGATTAGCCTTGCTGGGTTTTTCCCCACCCCTTTACCCCAAAAAAAAAAAAAAAAAAAAATCGAACCCAAGTCAAGACCTCTCACTTAGAGCATCCACAATGGTTGGGGAGAATTGGGAGATAATGTAAGAGTGATTAGGAAAGAGAATGAGGGACGGGGAGAAAAAAACAAACAAAAAAAAAAAAAACAAAACAAATTTAAAAAAAAAAAAAGAAAAAAAAAAAAGAAACATGGTCAGACGCGCCCGTGTGGCTGGCTGCTGTGCGCGATATTTCTCTTCCCTATCATTTGCCGGAGAAATAACTCTAACATTAACCCCACCCCACATTTGCAAATAACCTCACCCAAGTTATTTCTTCTTACATTAACCCCATATTATCCACTAGTGTGGATGCTCTTAAAGCATCCACATTAGTTGGGAAGAATATGGGGATAATGTAAGAGTGATTAGGAGAGAGAATATGGGGAAGGGAGGAAAAAAAATAAAAAAATCAAAATAAAAAAAACAAACGAAAAAATAAAAATTTTAAAAAAAAAAAGAACTGTCAGGCGCGCCTGACGCGCTCGTGTGGGCGGGTTGCTGTGCGCGAAACGCGCACAGCAGCCCTTTTTCTTTTCTTTCTTTTTCTTCTTTTTCTGCCATTATCCTTATATTTGCAGGATGATTATTTCCACAAATAACCCCACCCCACATTTGTTATTATCCCCATTGAGAAGAATACATTATGAAATCTTCCCATAATATGCACAAGTGTGGATGCTCTTAGAGCATCCACATTTGTTGGGGAGAATAGGGGGATAATGTAAGAGTGATTAGGAAAGAGAAGATGGGAGGGGAGAGAAAAAAAGAAAAAAAAAAGGAAAATTAAATTTTTTTAAAAAAAATAAAAATAAAAATAAAGACTGTTAGGCGTGCCTCTCGGCGCGCCTGACGCTAGAGCCGTCAAAAATGGGTTTTACCCGCCGGGTCGACCCGTCCCGTACCGCTGTAGGTAGGGGACGGGTTCTTCAAATTTTGATCCGCCAGGAGGCGGGCTTTTTAGCCCGTCCCGCCTGGGTCACGGGTTCAGGCGGGGCGGGTCAGGCAGGTCATGGGTTTAGCCCGCGACCTGCTAATACATATATATTTTGTATATATATTTAGTATTTAATACATATTATTTTTTTTGTTATTTTGGTTTGTGTAATTGTGTTAGTGTGTTATAACTTATAGGGTTATAGATTTATAGGAATACAATACTAGGTAGTGTTACTGTGTTAGTGTACTGTGCATCTGTATAGTGATTCTTTTTTTCTTTTTTTTTTTTTAAAAAAAAAATTAAGATAGTGAAAAAATTGATTGGCGGGCTAGCCCGCCCCGCCAGCGGGCTTTGGCATGGCAGGGCGGGCCGAGCACATTCCAAGCCCGCTAAGAGGCGGGCTTTTTAGCCCGTCCCGCTACGAGGACGGGCTTTGGTGTATTTTGGCTCGTCCCGCCCCGCGAGACCGTTTTGACGGCTCTACCTGACGCGCCTGGCAGGTGCGTGCACTGCACGCGGCCGCTGTGGCACTATGGTGACAGCCACAGTGAGGCTTTATTGGTGGGTCCTACAATTTTCTGAATTCTCCCTTCATTTGCAGGATGATTATTTCCACAATTATCTCCACCCCACATTTGTTATTATCCCCATTGAAAAGAATTCATTCTAAAATCTTCCCATAATATGCACAAGTGTAGATGCTCTTAGGAGAATCACTTTGCGCCATTAGTCTGTCGTTGGCAGATAAAATGTATTATACTTAGTAATTAGAAACAATTTACAACAACCTGCATAGGCATTCAATTCGCTACTAGTATTGGTGCAGAGTCTATATCATTATGGTCCTTTGAATATTGTGAATTTGTCCTTTTCTTATTTTCAACTTTAAAGTTATTTACTTACTGTTTTTCATGTTTTCAATTTTTACCACTTTTGAGCATTCACTTTTTAATATTAGTTATTTTAAAATTTTACATTGTTCATGTTTCACTGTTCGGTAACATAATTAACTTATCATTCAATTTTGACTTATTTAATTACTATTAACTGTTTGATTTGGTTAATCAATCAATATGAATGTTTGCTTAATTAGTTTTTTTTGTAATAACTTATTGTTTCAAAATGTTAAAATTCAAAAATTAACTAAAAGTAACTTTTTTGATTAGTTTTTTGATAAAGTAATTTTGCATGTGATACTCGTGGAGCAGAATTTCATAACACAAGATACAAAAAAATCACAACACAAAAAATATATATGCTCATGTAATATATTTACTTATTTATCAAATCTTATTTAGGTACTTAATTTGTGTTCATAGGCACGAAATTTCACAACAAAAGACACTGAAATTTGTAACATAAAACACAATTATCCTCCAACTGATAGCCATGGTAGGGAACTGGCCAGATGGTTTGCTCCATTCACATGGGTGAGGATCAAGACCACAACATCATGCTTAAGGGACGAGGTGCTAAACCCTCCATTCACATGGGTGAGGATCAAGACCACAACATCATGCTTAAGGGACGAGGTGCTAAACCACCACGCCAAGCATGTTGGTTGTATAAGGATTGATTATAGAAAGTAATGAATCTAAAGCAGATTCAAAGCCTAAGAACCACAAACACAAAAAGCTATAAAGCCTTCAAATCCAGGGTGAAAATCCTGCTAAAATTGTCGAATTGTGTGGCGGGCAATGACAAACCAATCTCCAGGCCACCACCTTCATGGCCCTTAGCTTTACTAACTGATATCCCACGACTTAAATCAGTGGATGGCATTTCAAACTTTTTAGGGTTTCCCCATCCAAAATCTAACCCATAATAATCGAATTTGGGCGACCCACTCACAGTCAATAATCGATCAATCTTCATTTTAGATATCAGTTTAAACTTATCCTCAGCTCCTCCCAACACTCCACGCTCCTTATCGTACAATTGCCGGCGAATACTTTCTCCGATCACATCAGCAGCATCCAACAAGCCCTCCTCCCCGGCGAGTTTCTTAGTCTTTATACATCCAAAACAGCCCACGAGGCAATTGCCAAAGTAGTTTCTTGGAACCGGTGGGTCCAAACGTAACCGGCAATCAGCCGCGCAAACGAACACCTCGTCTTCGTCGTCGCCGGCGTTATCTGTATTTGCGTCATATCGCGATTTTACCAAACAAGTCCATACGTATGAACAAATCGCTGTAAATGAGGAGAAATGTGCCAGTTTCGGTCGCCGAGAGAGGATGCGATTCTTGAGCCTTTGGATATCGTCTGGTGTGAGAGTAAATGTGGCCCGGATCCTGTCGGTGATTAGTGGAAGGCGATGAACGTGTGTATCCTCAATCTTGATGTTTTTAGCTTTGTCCCAGAAAAGTGCTTCTAGTCCTTTCTGATCTTTGAGCACTGTTCTGTCGTAAAATGGTCGGAATTCAGCCGGTAAAGTACTGGTTTCGTGTTCGTGACTAGAAAGGAAAGCCCAAGCCTTCATGAACCCAAAGATGCTACTAGCGTCACCAATTGCGTGGTGGTTGGTTACTCCGATGCAAACCCCGACGCCGGGAAATAACGTCACTTGTAACGCAAGCACGGGGACTATGACTGAGCCGCCGTCTGGCTCACGCGAAGCCGGCGGTAAGCTCGGAACAAGAGGATGGAGTTCCGTACAACTTCTTGCGTGGTCCGACGTGAGATCATCGAAATGACACTCGCCTGATGAATTGGCCTCCGCAAAGACTAACGGCACGGTGTCGCCTTCCTGGAATCGAATTTCCGGCAGGATGGAATTGTCGGGAGAAACAATCAGTCTGCCTGCAAGGGGACTGTAGTGGCGAAGGCTAAGAGATAAAGAATGTTTCATGGTCGGAATCAGGCTGTCTAGGAAGTGGGTTCTTGAGATGGGGTGTTGATAGAAGATGAGGCGGTGAACTGGGCTCATGTGCAGAAATGGAAAGTCAAGAAATGTGAGAGGAAGAGTGAGATTGGGTGTCCCTTCCGGCAGTGGAGCCACCGGAATCTCCTCCAGAACGGTGACGGCTTTTCTGGTTGCCATTGGAGTATCTGAAACTTTGCACTTAATTGGCTTGCTCAAGATAAGAATAATGCCTACCCAAATTTTCTTTTCATTTATGACTTCCACCGCGCATGACAGTACAGTGTTTTGTTGGTTTTAACTCTATGGTTCAATAAAAAGTATTTAGAAGAAGATGTTAAGGTTTGAACTTTAATAGTGACAGAATGGGATTGTGTCTAAAGTGATCAGATCTCTTATGCATATAGGTATTTAGCCCTGATTTACGAGCTATTGAATTTACATTCTCCTAAAGGCATGTTTTGTTTATGGAAAATGTTTTTCTTGAATTTGAGAAAAAACTGGATTTTTCTTTGTTTGGTTCGTGGAAAACATTTTTTTCAAAAATGAGGAAAACATTTTCCATGGTCCGGTATTTACAATTATGCCCTCACCAACTTTTCTTAATTACCATTATTATTATTTTTGATATTATTATGTAAGAGTATAATTGTCTTTATACTCACTATTCCTTAGAATTATATACTCAACCAAACAATGGAATCAATATTTCCAGTAATTTATTTTCGACCAACCAAACATTATAATTAATCTTCCCAGTAAATGATCTGTCGAGTCGGGAGTGTGGGGGCCCCTGGGGGATTTAACCTTTTGAAAGAAGTATGGTGTTTTGGGGCATTCTAGCGGAATTAGTGGACATTTGCCTTCATAAGAACAATCCCATTAAGAAAATTTTACACTGATTTTGAGGTGAAATTACTTGGTTGGAAGAGACCGAGGGAAGAGAGAGATTGTTTGGGTGCTTCCTGCAAAAATTTGGATTTTCGCAGATTGTGAGGGTCCCAAGTGTGAAGGGAGAGATGCTTATTTTTTTGTTTTCAGATTTTGATTTTATTTTATTTATTTTTTTTTTCTCTCCACTCTCATTTCCTCTTTCATAATCACATCTAAGAAAAAAAAAAAAAAAAAAACTACTCAAAAACTACACAAAAAATTTCACTATTGAGAATGCCCTAAGATTTCAAATTGACATGCACCATTTAAAAAGTTTAGATTTATCCCGAATGTCTATTTAGATTCATCAACAATTAAAGCTTTAGTATAATAAAAAAAATTAGATCAATTTTATAAATATTGTAATATTTTTTATGTTTGTAATATATAAAAAAAAATTAAATTTGTCTATCTTTTCTTTTAGTTTTTATCAACCTTAGCTCCAAGGGTTGATCTACCCGGACGAATAAATAAAATTAATGCTTTTCGTGAAAATTAAATTGTGAACAAATGTTATCCACCGAAGATTTAATATATTTAATTGTTAAAAATATAAATAAGTAATTAAGATTTAACATGTACTCTTAATTTCTACTCACATTTTTACTTCTTATGATATGATATGTTTTGATTGCTTAATTTAATAGGGAATATTTATTCTTTTTTTTTCTTCTTCCAATTAAATTTGAATATAAATGAAAGTAAAAGTTACAAGTAAAAATTTAGAGACTATATAGTACATATTTTTTAACTTAAAATATTATAATTACCAACTGTATTGCATCACAGGGTATCCATGTGATTGAGCTAGTATTTATCACTTCTGGTCCTGTGGGGATAAGTACTTCTCATTTTCAGCCTTTCATGTGATCGACTCATTGTAACTTGGTGAAATGGAATAAACTCCGACCCCATCTCTATCATTTTACATGCTGGATTCAATTATTAAATTAAAGTTTGATTTAAATTATTTATAATTTAATTTTCATAATACATAAATTAACCAAACGTTTGGTTAGATATAATTTAGTTGTAATTAAATTGTAATTCAATGAAGACCTCAATTACAGTATTTGGTTGGAGGGAATTGCAATTCAATGCTGGGAAAGGAAAAAATGTAAGAAATGAAAAAAATACTCTTTTTGATTATTATTATTATTATTACACAAGGACATTTTAGTCTTTATACAACTTTTTCCTTCTCATCTCCAATAATTCTATTCCTCCCTACTAAACAATATAACTTGAATTCCTACATTATTCCTACCTTATTCTTTTCCCATTGCAATTCATTTCATTCATAATTCATTCCTGCCCACTAAACACCCCCTTAAAATATTATTGGTTTAAGTCCAATGACTTAAAAACAACGAAGATCTGAGTGATATATAAATAACTCTATCCGTTCCATTTTGTTTGTTAGGTTCGGTTAATGAGACTTGATTGAAATTAGTTTTAATTAAATTTTTAATAGTATTAAGTTTAGTATTAATATATAAAATTTATATATTTAGAAATTACATTAAAATTATTATAAATTAAATTTAAAATAATTAAAAATTATTAAAGAAAAATAAGCAATGAAGAAAGAATTGATTTACACTAGTACAAAAAAAAGTTTTAGAGTCTCCCATAAAACACTTTTCGAGTCACCTGTACAGGTGACTCGGATCTTGGAGACTGTGAAAGTCCTCCGCTTTTCGGGTGACTCGGAAAGCGAAAGATGATTTTTTAAAATTTTTTAATACGGACTTTCCGAGGCACCTGCTCCGCTGCAGGTGCCTCGGATAGTCCTTTACTATTATTTTATTAATTTGTTCCCAAGACACCCACTTATAAGAAAAAAATGTTTAATAAAGAAATGTTTTTTTTAAGAAGTTATTCATTGCCACCAAAACAATGTTTTAGATGTGACCCAAAAGTGGAATATTACTAGTAATAAAGGAAAACATGATGTTCCATCAATTAATAAAGTAGCAACCATCCAGACTCTATACATAGATAAAGCATAGCATAAATTACTTGGCAAGATTCATGAAAAATTCTGGAAAGCATGAGTAGCTTCACCAAAATTTGATTGGGAAACAAAATCCAAAACAACTACATTTTAGACATTTAAGTTGAAAAAACTTTAAGCCGCCATAGACATTAGTTTCCACCATAAGAACTTAGTTGAGCTTGAATGCAGTGACAGATCACAGATGGAAGATAAATTTTAGAATAAACAAATCCTATCTACAATAGTTTACCAGCTAAACCAAAAATAGGGGATGAAACAAACCTATGCTTAATATAGATATTACAAGTTAGCTCCTTCCTGTCGGAGAGTGGTGCCCCCAGTAACGGGAGCCTAAGGACAATATAAACAAAAAGGACAAATATTAGTACTAAAGAAGATTAGCAAGCAACAGAAGAGAGATTACAAGTCAACTATCTTGTCAAGGTTTGCTGTGTAATTCACTACCATATCTTCCTCAAGATCATCACCCACCTCATAGAGAAGTGCTGCTCCATGCATAACCAGTGGCAAATTCATACCTAGCTTTGCTTTCACTATCTTCTCAACAAAATCCCTCAGCTTTGACCTATAAGTATTGATCTCAAGTGTAAAAGGTGTCTGCCAGCAAGTATTGTATGAGAACAGATTCAAGTCCATACTAAGATAAAATTCAAAATTCTTTCCAGAAAGGCCAGAGAATTTCACAGAACAGACATAGCAGGCTCAAATGGATCAACTGGCATAAGAAGCATTTTTCTGGAAGGATGTTCAAGACAATATATAGGTCATCTCACATATAAGAATAAAGAAGTAATTAGTAAAGATGGGAAGATATTGAGCATCAATCACCAGGTAAAAGAACTTAGGAACTACCAGTATTTTGAGGTCCACCAAACGAATCTATTTATGAATTTGTTCAAACAGAAAACTAGCTAGCTGCTAGCATTTTGTTAATTAGTGAAAGAATTTTATGCCAACAACTCTACAACAATCTTAGCAATTTCCTTGAAGCATCTAATGGAGAAGTTACACCTTGATCAGTAATTAGAATCTATACTTAGGTTGAGACTCAGCAGAGTATGTAATGTGATCATGACCAAAGAAACTAGTCAAGTAACCCATACAGTTTTTTTATGCCACTGACACTCTGTGGAATACAATAAACTAGATACATGCTATGGAAAAGCTAACAAGAGGAATGACTATAATGTTAAGATTATCTAAAGAACCGACCCTTTTTCTTAAGGCTGCAGTTGTGCAGCATGCAATAGAAATGCAATTCCAAACCATAGAATATGCACACAAAATTTGAAATGATCCATAACAAACAACAGCAGACACTATAACTACCTCAAGTACCATGTTAGCATAAGCACCTAAGACTGCATGCAAATCTTAAAAGAATTAACTTTTAGGATCAGAAACAAAAGCATACTGACCTTCAATAGTGCTACTAGTATGTCTGCAAGAGTATTATTGGGTGTAATCAAAGCAGTTTCAAATTCCTCCACTGAGAACTCTGCTTTAATGTTCAAACAACTGTTCTGTTCATTATATTTGAAGCTTTTCTCCGCAGTGTTTGCATTTCTGGTGAATTGTAATTTGTGCATATGAAGATCGATGAACAGACAGGGACATCAGATTTCCAAAGAGAATGATGATTTGTCAGATGGGAATCTCTCTGATGCACAGATTTATTCACATCTTTTAAATTGTTTGGCTGATCAACTCTTTCTAATTTCTGTTGCCATTTTTGCATTTTTGCTATGATTTCATTATGAAAAATTAGCTTGCAGCAAAATATTCCATTTCTTCTAGTCTTTTAATCATGGTATACTACTCTCTGGGGTCATTTTGCCGGTGAGGAAGAATTTGAACATGGTTTCCCTGAAAAGGAAATGTCTAACATGGGATACAAAAGAGGGAAATTGTTTTTCCCTTAGGCGAAATTGTACTTTTGGTATGTCACCTAAGGGAAAGACAATTTCCATGTCTATTTCTGAAATACTATGAACCACCGTATTTGTGCAGTATTTACGTATTAACGTCGTATTTACTTAAAAATCAACGTATTTACTTATAAAACAATGTATTTATAGGTTTAAATTAACGTATTTACGTTTGAACGATCGTATTACAATTTTTTTAGAAAAAAAAGGCAGAATAAACGTTAAATAAATTAAGGTGTTCGATTATTTTGTTGATTTGATGTTAATTAGTAGAATGACGAATAAATAATTGATGCAAA